TGAAAAACCATTGAAAGAAACCCCACAAGAAGCTAAAAGAAAAGAACTTGCCCAATGTTTGAACTTGCTTCCTGGAAAAGAAAAACAGATTAGATTACTGAAGTTTTCAAAATTTCTGATCCAATTAGAAAGTGTAATTGTTCTACCAAACAAAGGGAAGTGTAATTGTGGCAGTGATATTACTTTGCTAGCTTTGCTCCTTCAGGGGTGTGGAAGCTGTTGATAAGATGAGCAGTTGCAGTACCACTTGGATATGTCAGTTTGAAGTCTATGATCATGATCTGAAACAAAGGAAAAAAAAAATCACGAGCTATGAAACCAAGTATATGTATATTTGCTGTAAATAATGCAAATGGGGTATACCATACCTTTCGAAGTGGCACCACTGAGAAGAGGCCAAGAAAGCTAACCATGAAAAGAAAGCCGATCATCCATCCTAGTGCTGGGTTCTTGTAGCCACCGTTGTCACCTGATTGACTGGCAATCCGTTCACTCATACCAAACATGTAACTCCCAAATCCCCCTATTTGCAAAGGATGGAAAAAAGAACTTTTAACAAAGCATTTCCAATCACAAAATGAAAAAATGACTTCTACCACATCTTCATGGGGAACAAATTTATTTTATTAGAGAAACATATAACAAGCAATAGGAAACTAACCATTCCAAAAATCTCTTTTGAGTCTTCTGTTTTACAGTCTGGGGATCTTCAAATAGAAGGAGGACCCCAACATTAAAAGACACGTCCTTTGTCTAAGAGTTAATATTTTAAGTTTCAGACTGTAAAATAGTTTTTTCATCTCTTTCTACTTGCTATCTACTTGCTAAAAAACAAAAGAAGTTTCTCATGAGGCAGTCAACATAAAAGAAAGAAATCAAATCTATTTTAGGTATACTTAATAATTAGTGTGCTTAGATACTACACAGATTTAACATTCTAATCTTGATTCCATCGTCTTTAAGTCAACAGAAACCAACTAGAATAAAAGATCAAATTAATGGTAAGTAGACAGGATTTTATTTTA